TCCCACGATGGGGGGAGGGGATCAAGAAAAAATGATGATAATTAAACGCATGGATCCAATGGTATACAAAATGGAGGGGTAATAAGACTGTTTATATAAATTTAATGGATATGTGATAGCATGTACAGCAAGGAGTGTAGATCGAACAAAACAAGTGAAGTTTATTATATTATTTTTTAGCATGTCATTCTTATCGCTGTATAGTCAATTATTAATAAAGCTGACCCTAGTGGTCGAATTTTGCATACAGAATCATGTTTACTTTTGTGTGAATATTTCGCGAATTTATTTTATTGTATTGATATCGATGTATATTAACTCGCATATGATTGAGAATTTTTAAAATTTTTCTTGGCATTTTTTGATTAACATTGTTCGCTGAAATTTCATCACATGACTTCTGGTTTGGTTCTCTCGAAAAGATATCTTATAAAAATAATTGAAATTAAAAAGCATTAGAGTAACAAACCATTTTTCAGCACTTTGTGCAGACACAGCCAAGACGTGGTTAATAAAAATTTTTTTTCCAAGCATTTGTAATAAAGTTATATAATATAATATTAAATATGTGAACACAGGGAGAAAAGACTAAAGACTTATTCAAAACTGTTTCATTATGAGAATTAAATTCAAAGCTTATTGCTATAATTGCAGAACTTAGAAGGGAGAATTTTGAAATCAAGACTGAGAACATCAAATTTAAAGCTAAGAATATAAAAGTTAAAACTGAAAAAAAAAAATTAAAATAAACTTTAGAAGAACATGGTGCCAGATTTACAAATCTAGAACAGAAAGATAAAGAAAAAACCAACCTTATTGTTTGACTTGAGTAGAACGATAAAGAAAAAACAGATTTTATAGCTAAATTGGAATATAACATTTCACTAATCAAAGGCAAGATATAGAACCTGGAATCTCTGATTCATATCCTGTAAATTCTAATGATGTTTCTAAAGATATAAATTTACTATGTGATGATATTGATATAACTAATAATGCTTCAAATTCTGATGAACATCAAGAAGAAACTTCATTTCAAGTCTCTAATTTATCTTTGACTGCATTAGCCATATATGTAAAGCCTAAATCATTAGAAGGTAAGGAAATAGATAATTTTCTGATTGAAAAACATAATGAACAGATTTGTAAAGAAATAAGAGAAAAAAGCTTCAACATAGGCCATCTACTGAAAGTTCTTCAAAAGAGGACATTTATATATCTAATATTAAATCTAGTATTCCTCCCAAGTAGAAAAAGAAGCAAGGTTTAATACAAGATATTTTAATATCCATTAAAGATCAGAATGATATAACTAGAATTTCACAGAACAATGTTTGTCAAAATCATATAACTAAAGTCGTTTCAGACTAAGATATTATTTGTTTATACTAAAATACATGTGATTCAGAAAAAGATGCTATCAAAGCTAATTAAGAAGAAATATTATATTGGTGTTTCTACACTAAAAAGTTTAAAAATATGGTTAAAGATTTTATGGCTAATGGTAGAGTTGGAGAGAAAAAAGCAAAAAGACAAGCATATAATTTTATTATTCAACAACTTCCTAACACAAAGTGTGAAAACTTATACAAGCAAACACAAAAAGCATTAAGAGTTTATAACTTATTTAAGAAAATAGGAATGGATAAGATTTAGTATACCAAATCTTATACTGCAGATAGTATTTCAAGATTTACTAATTTATAGATTTAAACGATTATTGATCATTTCACTAAAAACCTTGTGATAGAATTCACTGATAATTCTTCTGATGACTTACTTGAAACTGAGATTAATGAAAAAGCTAAAAGAATTTCATCAGAAACAGAGGTAAGTATTACAACTATCCCCTCTATCCTGTTGTCTCATATATATAATTTGGAAGTTATGATAAATGAGGATGTCAAATCTTTGCTAGAAACTGAGGTAAGCATATCTGCTAAATTGATTTCAAAGGAACCAGAAACTGTAAATGTATTCGATAAGTATAATGAAAATGATGGTGAATTCTTTGATGATAACGATGATGAATTCTCTAATGATAACGATGATAAAGATTATTGAGGTTTTTTTGACGAAGATGAACTAGGTTATTACTATAATTTAAGTAGTGAAAAAAAACTTATAAGTTTCTGATTATTTAATTAGTAGTATAGATTAATGAAGTTAACATAATAGTTTCTACTAATTAATAATCACAAACTACATTATAAAAAATCACGTAAAAATAAAAAATAGCAAGGGTATGGAACCCCTTCTTTATTTATAAAAATTATTATTGCTGGAATAACAATATAAAAATAAAAAATATATATTTTTATTATATAAAAAAAAACATATACCTCAAAGAGGCGCCCTTAATGGGCTAGGTTTAGTGTAAGTTTATATTTGATTTAACATTTCCTCTCGCTAATCAGGATTTAGCCAATCATTATCATCATTGTCTCTATTATGTTCTAGGTTTTTTTTTGATATTTTTCCCCAGATCACATTATCTAATTTTTAGTAAAATAAAAAACTTAGTTCTGATAATTATATTTCAACACAAATATACTGATTTACTTATAAGATAAAAATTCTTTCAGTTTGTATTGTTATTTTGATTTAGAGGTTGTGCTATCTTTAGTCTTAGGAGTGATGCTATCTTTAGTCTTGAAGGTGGTGCTATCTTTAGTCTTGAGGGTGGTGCTATCTTTAGTCTTGGGGATAGTAGTATCATTAGTCTTAGAGGTGGTAGTATTATTAGTATTGGGGTGGTAGTATCATTAGTATTGGAGATAGTGTTATCATTAGTGCTTATTTTTATTCCTAAATACAAAAAATTATATTAAGAAAACAATCAGTTTTAAACTATAATAAATAGCAAATACTACTTTGAAAAATAATTATAGTTAGGTAAAAAATATATGTGAGCAAAAAATATTATAACCCACTTTACAAGGAACAAAAAATCGCTTATTTTATACTTCATAATCGTTAGATCTAGTAAACCTGCCAGAAGAAAAATCACAAGCTTAATAATTATATTACTCTAATACAATACTATACTACACTTAACAAAGCAACTCTGCTTGGTTATAAGTTCCAAATACTGAATCTATTTTGTTATTTTTCTGGTAAAATTAACTTTCCTTAGATTTGATGATCACTTAAAGTGAGTTTAGATCTGACGATCTCAGAGATGGTGGAGATTTCAAGTTCCTGCAACATATGAATTTGGACCAAACTACTGATTAAGAACATTATATATATTATCCTTATAACCTTTTTAGACATAAAATGTCCTGCTTCGCAGAGTCCCATTCTTATTACAGAATCGTATAAAGTAAGAAAAAGGGTCCTAGTTATTGTAAAATTAGTTAACGTCAACTAAAATCAACGTTAGAAAAGTAATTATGCATTAAGGTAATGCTGCATAAAATTTAATGCTGGGCATTAATTATCAAAGCTAGTCAAGGTTTTATTGCTTGTTATTATTATAAAATATAAAAATCTTAAATTCAGTTTATACTCTAACAGTCTTTGAAAGCTGTCAGGATATAGAATTTATATGTATAGACCTGTAGAACCATCAAGTCATATGATAGAATAAATTTGAAATGATCTAATACTAATAGCTGTGAAATTAAATTACTACTATGTGTTGTGTTAAAATGGCACACATGATAACTACTATTAAGCTACTATCTTCTGAAAAGAGGATACTTTGCTGAAGTGCTGTTAGCTTTTTCTTAATAAACATATATATATTTGCTAAGCCACTGTCTTTTAAAAGGAGAATGCTTCGCATCTGAAGTGCTGTTGAAGTACTGTTTAAAATAAAACCATGATTGAATTTTTATACTTGTGATATAATATATACATATATATATAGTTGAATTAAAATAACACATATAATATATTTACAGAAACCAACCCAAATTTAGATATTGGTGAAAAAAATCATATACATACATATTGTAATATGCTTGCTTGGCTTAACTAAATATTAAATATAATAATAATAAAATGTGTTGTTGTCAGTTAAGTCAAACAAATATATTACTTGACTTAACGTATAAGAGTGGTTAAAGAATGTTTTAAACAAAAAAAACTAAAGAAAAGCCTAAAATAAAACAAAAATACTATAAAATAACTAAACAAAAAGACAAAAATAGGGTGTGGCGACTTAGTGAAGTTAGCAAGTTGTCACACCCCCAAGCAGCAGAACCAGAGTTCAAATCCCACTGGCGATGAAAATTTGAATTTACGAAAAATGCATTTGGAAAAACTGTATCCTATTGGGTTATAGAACCTGTAATGGAGTCACACCAGCTTGTATTGGGAGGTAGTGGAATATATAGTGTGACGTATAAGTTACATGAAATCTGAGTAAAGCTACCGAATAAATCCAGCGGATTGACGGGATACGGGAGCCTGCTTGGCAAAACCCAAGTGGAGAGATAGTACAGATCTTTGACAGTTACTATGTGTAGAATGACCGGCCGAATACCAGAAAACTGGATAGGACCGAGGTGTTTGGCAAGAGCACTATACCAACTAGGCTGACGGACAACCGGAGGAAGGGTTCTGCAATTCAGGCCATTGAATTGGGAGTTTGGGTTTCCAGAAGTATGAGAGAGAGTCTGTAAAGTAGGTACCGGGATCTGAATAAACTCTGCAAGGGCAGTAGTAGGTAACTGTAGCAGCCTCGGCTCACAAGTACTTGTTCTCAGACTCTGCGTAAGTTACTGAAAAGCTAGTCAGAAAATGTGTGGGACATAGAAAGATTAGGGGGTATATACTACACTCTCCCTAGAGCAACCTGGTAGTATGAGAACCCTACTGGGTTATCTATAGAATTAGGGTGCAAGTAGTTTAGCACATGTCAATCTGGGTGGTTTTCAATAAAAGCAGCACGAGGTTATGGGCTGGCGTAATTGTGGTGGTAGTACAGGAGGGGTAACCTAAATGTATTACTAAATACCTAATAAAAATTCGCTTGTTCATG